TTTGAAAACTAATGATTTGAGTAAGTCTTGGTCCCTCCCATCACCTGAGCATCTATATTAACCTTTCATGTAGCGCGGTCCTTGGATGAAGGTCTGCATACTCGCCAAGGTCCTATGCGCACTTTTCTTATCCTCGCTCGGTATGCCAGTCGCACGGTGTACGAAGAGAGTTTAGACAACCTCAACGGCAGTATACTTTGGCCCAGTAACTTTCTGAGTTGGCTGGGTGCGTGGACAAGACACATGAGAGTTGAGATGCAGTTGAGTGGGTACGAGACGTACCTGAAGCTAAGAGCGCTGTTGGGTATGAGGAAGATTGAGATTGGGGATAGCTTTAGGGAGTAGGGTATGACAAGCGTGGAGTTTGGCGACTATCAACATTAGACTTGACATGATTTGCATTAGAAGCTGGTGACATAGCTGGAAAGTCACGGGCGCAGTTAGAGTTATGATATCGAAACCTGATACTCATCTTGAGGTGCACGCGTGTATATGTCGCAGTGAACCCCACTCTGGCTGAAGATGGATACGGCAAGACGGAACGGGCGGAACGTGGTCGGGCCTAGACGTGTTGGTTCCTACAGGATGTACGTGTGGCGGTGCCGTTTACCCAAGAATGTGCGGCCTTGCATGTGGCTCGTGTCCAAGACTGCCATTCGTCTTGGTGTTTGACAGAGGGTTTGCAATGTGTTTGAGGCGTGGTCGTCTGATGGACAGCAGCTTCTGGGCGCCAAAGAGCGCCAAGAAGACGGAAACATGTAGTGAAAGGCACCAAGAAGAGGCAGATGGCATCAGAGACGGTTCAAGCAGCATACGAAGCAGCGGCAGAGATGTGGTCGAGAGATATGTTGTTATTTTGGTTCTTGGACATGCTAGTGGGCGGTGACAGGGAGGTAGAGCGGTTTGACATCATCGATGCCATGCGTCGCGAGAGCAAAGGCAATCTTGACATGCACGGGTACACCCATCGGAAGCAGACTGTGCACTAGGTGTCTTGTTGCTCCTCTCCAAAGCATTCCAAGGTTACCCTCGACGGCCACATATATCGAGACTCTGGTCAGGCGCCAGTCAGCAGCAGCAGTAGCAGTTCGCATCGCCCCCCCGACACAACCTGCGGGGCAAGCGCCAAGGCAGCAGAAAGCATCCTCCCGGAATCGCATCGTTCACGCCGCAGCGCTCAACGCTCTAGCCGCCAGGGCTGGAGTGGGAAGACTTTGTGGGTGACTTGCGGTGTCAGCGATTGCAAAGGATTGTATAAGCGATTACCATCGTAGGCCGGAGACTCGTCGGGCAGCGCCGTGAAGGCCCGCCGCATTTGCCTTTGTAGTAGACTGCGCACGGTCGCCTTTCGCACAGCCTCCTCCAGTACCTGTACTGTACCCTCGTCGCTCCGCCGTAGCCAACCCAGAGACGCCATACATCACCACCCAAACCCAGCACCAGAGAAGAGGCACCTAACCATCGCGAGCTCTGAGAGCCGCCCCTCTACCTCTGTCGCCCGTTCCCGCTCCAACCCACACCCACGACCGCTTGTTGCGCTGCATAACCGCGCATCATGGACGGCGCTGGCCAGCCCAACCTGCGCATCACCAGTATGTCTCACCCGCTGCCCACCGAGTCCCGTGAGCCCCACGACCAAACTAACACGCCGCAGTCATCGCCGCCGATGGGCTCTACAAGCGCGATGTGTTCCGTACGTATGCCCTGACCTAGCCCAGCGTCGTCATGTCGCTCATGCATGTGCTGCAGGATTTCCGGACCCTTTCGCTGTAGCCACAATCAATGGCGAGCAGACGCGCACCACCAGCGTCATCAAGAAGACGCTGAACCCCTACTGGAACGAGAGCTTCGACATGTACGCTGCCCTGGGCTTTGGCCTCGCATGCCTTCGCATCGTGACGCTAACACTCGACACAGGAAAGTGAACGAGGAGAGCGTTCTGGCGGTTCAGATCTTTGACCAGAAGAAGTTCAAGAAGAAGGACCAGGGCTTCCTGGGCGTCATCAATGTCCGCATAGGGTCGGTAATAGACCTCGATGCCGGCGGGGATGGTAGGCCTGATGCATGCCAGTCTACATCATCTGCTAACAGCTCCTCAGAGATGCTCACGCGCGACCTCAAAAAGTCAAACGACAACATGGTCGTCCATGGCAAGCTCATCCTCAACCTCTCCACTAACCTCACCGCGCCCATTACCCAGGGAGCTCAGAACGCCACCCGACCGACCGCATCCCCGCACCCGTCCGTCAACGGTGCTGTCCCTGGTGCTGTTTCAACTCCACAACAGTCGACGACGAACCTTCATCCTCCCGACGTATACCCCGGTCAGCAACGACCCTCAGTCGCCGGCCAACCAGCTGCCCAGCGTCTCAGTCAAGCCCCTCCAGCTGGCCCACCAACTGGCCCGCCCGCTGGTCCAGGCCCCGCGCCAAATGGAGCGACTCCAGCTCGCAACAGCGGCGGTGCATACAGCGCTTTCGAGGATGCTCAAGGAAGATTGCCAAATGGCTGGGAGCGTCGCGAGGATCATCTGGGCCGAACCTACTACGTCGACCACAACACTAGACAAACCACTTGGATCAGGCCGGGCGCAGGATTCAACGAGGCTGATCAGCGCCGAGATGTAGCTGCGCAGACCCAGCAGGAGCGCATGCGACATCAGAACCGCATGCTGCCTGAAGATAGGACCGGAGCCAACTCGCCCACTCTCACCGATCGTCAGCCATCACCGCCTGCTGGTTCGGCCAATGCTGCAAGCATGATGGCAACAGGAGCGACTACTGCTGGAACAGGAGAGCTCCCGTCTGGTTGGGAACAGCGGCATACACCCGAAGGTCGACCATACTTTGTTGATCACAACACGCGAACGACAACATGGGTAGACCCTCGCCGACAGCAATACATCCGCATGTATGGTGGTCAGGCCGCCAACGGAAGCACCATTCAGCAGCAGCCCGTCTCCCAACTCGGGCCATTGCCATCAGGGTGGGAAATGCGCCTCACCAACACAGCCAGAGTATACTTTGTGGATCACAATACGAAGACAACTACCTGGGACGACCCGAGATTACCGTCCTCGTTGGACCAGAACGTACCTCAGTACAAGCGCGACTTCCGTCGCAAGCTGATCTACTTCAGATCACAACCTGCACTGCGCATTGTTAGTGGTCAATGCCATGTCAAGGTGCGACGAACGCACATCTTCGAGGATTCTTACCATGAGATCATGCGCCAAAGCGCTGCTGATCTCAAGAAGCGACTAATGATCAAATTCGATGGTGAAGACGGTCTGGATTATGGAGGTCTCTCCCGAGAATTCTTCTTCCTGCTATCCCACGAGATGTTCAACCCCTTCTACTGCTTGTTCGAATATTCTGCGCACGATAACTACACTCTTCAGATTAACCCTCATTCCGGCATTAACCCCGAACATTTGAACTATTTCAAGTTCATTGGACGTGTTGTTGGTCTGGCCATTTTCCATCGCCGTTTCTTGGATGCCTTCTTTATCGGAGCGTTTTACAAAATGATCTTGAGGAAGAAGGTTGCTCTCCAAGACATGGAAGGTGTAGATGCTGACTTCCATCGTAACCTGGAATGGATGCTGTAGGTTCAAACTCCATTTTTCGGGCGCATACAAGCTAACAAACGCAGGAACAACGATATCACGGATGCTCTAGAGTTGACCTTTGCTACTGATGACGAGCGCTTCGGTGAAACCGTCAGCATTGAGTTGAAGCCTGGAGGTGACAATATCGAGGTTACCAACGAGAACAAGCACGAATACGTTGAGTATGTGGATCCAGTCTTAGCCTGTCCCAATTATGCTAACTGATCAGACTCATTACCGAATGGCGTATTCAGAAACGCGTCGAAGAGCAATTCCAGGCTTTCATTACTGGTTTCCATGAACTAATTCCTGCGGATCTCGTAAACGTTTTTGACGAACGTGAGCTCGAGTTGCTCATCGGTGGTATTGCAGATATCGACGTTGATGACTGGAAGAAGCACACGGATTACCGTGGCTACACCGAGAACGATGAAGTGATTCAGAACTTCTGGAAATGCATTCGCAGTTGGGACGCCGAGCAAAAGTCGCGTCTCCTACAATTCGCTACCGGAACATCACGTATTCCTGTCAACGGATTCAAGGATTTGCAGGGTAGTGATGGGCCAAGAAGATTCACAATTGAAAAGGCTGGTGAGCCCAATCAATTGCCGAAATCACACACATGGTATGAGACCCAAGTATCCAGCGTATGGGCCAGCTGCTAACAAGATGTGCAGTTTCAATCGTCTCGATTTACCACCTTACAAGACATTCGAAGCACTCAACCAGAAACTTACCATCGCCGTTGAAGAGACAGTTGGTTTCGGACAAGAATAAGCCTCTCGCCATCCGGCAGGAGTCATGCGTGTGGACCACAGCTGTGGCCAAGGAAGTGCGGGAGACTACTACTACTACATGGCGTTGATGCCATTGTACAAAATCTGCGAAGGGAAGGTGGAGCATTAGTAAATGGCGAGAACGCGCTCCTTGGGATCGTATATGACACTTGACTTTCTGGACTTGTGTCTGACCTGGCTCATCTTCAGTGTATTGCGTGGGATATATTGCATTACTTGCACATGTGCACGTACTAAGCGGCGTTTTGGGGGTTGATCGGAATGAAAGTAGTATAGCGCTTTTCTTATATGAGCGCTGTAACAATGAAGGATGATGAGACCTGGATGGAGTCTACGTGACATGGTCAATTGTGTTGCCTCGGAGCATGTCATGGCTGCCGCGTGTGCGGCTTTGCATACGTGGAACTGTTTCGCTTATTGATGTTTAAATTCTTGTCATAGGAACGGCGGCATTCACAAGTATTCGCAACACACGTAATTAGTTGCAAACGGCAGGCATGTCAGTCAACCCAGGAAAGCCATCGTATCACTGATTAAATATTATCCTATTCATCCAACTACCCGCTCGACCACCAGCAATTGTACTACTCCATCTACAACAGACCAGCAAACATGGCAACAACGGCGGCACCAGCAGGTACACCGAAGCTGCTACCCGCACCAGCGAAGCTCGTGGGAGTTGAGCTAGCCTCAGACTCGGAGCCGGTGCCAGTAGCACTGGTCATGGCGCTCGTAGCACTGGCAACGGCACGAGACTGTGTAGCAGCGACGCTGGCAACAGAGGCCATGGACGAGGAAGCAGCGGCACGGAGGGGCTCGGCGGCACCGCAGTAAGATGTTACGGTGTTCTGGACAGGAGGCTTCTCAAGGGAGTCTACAGATGGTTTGTTAACTTCTACTCATCCTGTTTGTATGCATGGAACACTTACCAGGGCAGTTGTTGTAGCAGACGAGAACATCTCTGTAGACGTCACAGAGACAGATGAAGTCGTTGGGGTTCTCGTTGCAGGCGTCGATGCGGGATTGGTAACCTTGGACGCAAGTGTCTACAATGTTTTGGGCATCGCACTTGTCCTGGGCAGCGACGAAGCTAGCAGACGCTGAGATGGCGACGGCGATGGCGGTGATGAAACGCATTTTGATACGAATGTTCGGATGGTAAAGTGGTGTAGTTCTACGACGTTGTATTACAAAGTATTAAGGTATAAAGAAGCTACCCAAAGCGAATGGTGGGTATTGTTGTTCGTATAGCGACCGAGAAAGGTAGGATAGATGACAGAAGATACGAGGAACGCAGAGAAGAGAAGAAGAGGAGACACGAGAGGGAGTCTAGGGTAGATTTAACCTTCGCAGGTGGCTTGGGAAACCCCATCCCTAATCCCATCTTGTCAAACACAAAACTAAAACTAATAACCTTTAAGCCTCCTTTCCCCGGAAGACTGCAGAGTCAAGAAGAAGCAGTGTCAGTGCTTCCCTGCGCCTATCCGTCTCTTGAGTCGAACTAAGCAAGACGGAGCCTAGTGCATGCCAGCCTCGGAAGATAATCGCGGACGAGAGCTGGTCTAGCGTGTCTCCTCCTAAAATTAGTGATTTCGATGCATCAGGAGTCGTATTCCTGCCTCGTCCAATCCACTATAGTTTGTTTGCCGCTGGATAGGTGGGACTCAGCTGAGCTGGCAGTGGTGCTTGCAAGCTGCTGTGGGCAGATGGTTCGGTGGTGCAGGCGTGAGGGGGGGGGGAAAGGTTGACAGTCACGGTTCACACAACGGCAAGGGCTCGCCGAGAAGTCATGGCTTGCAATGCGCATTTCGCTTGTAGAAACAGCCCGAGTCAGGATACTAATTGGTGGGAGTGCATGATGTACGCCAGGGTGCTGGTCACTTCGCGAAGCACTTGAGGCGCGACGGGACCACGCGCCGTTGCAAAGGGGAAAGACGCCCAGAAAGGCTATAATACGGCGGCACTGCGCCCCTTCCTCTTTCTGCAGCTATGCAACTCTTCGGAACTTTGCGAGATCTTAACAGGGCAGCGTATATGTCGTATCCCCACATCTCCTGACCCTGCTACATATGTCGTGATATAGCTCGGCTTCTGCCGAGGCGTTCGTGGTTCTCGTTGCAACTCGTTTATACCGGGCATCAATGAGCAGATATTCGATAACCAATAGACATTTCTTCGTCACAAGGGTCGATCGGCAAGCACGGGCGTTTGCTCCCCAAATCTCGTTATCGAAGGGTCTGAGGTCCGTGGTTAGCGCATGTAAATGAGATTGGAAATTAGGTGAACCTGTGGGCCCGTTGTGATTACGTGTATACCTTCCTGTAACAGCTTCCCAGCCTTCCCACCCAGAGAAACCACCTCAAAGATTGTATTCTTGTGCATCACGTGCTATCATGATACGAGAGGGAACGACAGCGAACTTATCGTGTGTAACGGATATATGTATAGTTGCTAACCAAAGCAATCTGTGTGTGTGTGTGTGTGTGTGTGTGTGTGTGTGTAGAAACAGCCGACAGCCATGCTCCTCGCTTTTACTCAGTACCAAAACAAAAGGAAAATGAACCACCCTGGAAATCAAACGCCATGTTCATGCACATACGACTCTACCGCCTCTTCTGCAAACATATTTATTCCTCATCGATAACACGACCCCACTCATGTCCCTCCATACCGTCGCTACCCCACATGATGCCCTTGAGAGAGTTTTTGAAGAAGCTCGCATACGCGCCAGAGTCACCCTTGACCATTGGCACCTCAATGTCCTTGCCACGGAAGTGAATCTGGCTGATAGGAGCGACGAACCACGCAGTACCAGCCGCGAATGCCTCAACAAGGCGTCCTTCCTTGGCCGCTTCTTCAATCTCGAAGACGTTGAACTTGCGCTCAATAACCTCTAGAGTGTCGAGATCGGGTGAAGGAGAAGAAGAAGTGAGCCTTGAACGGGCGAGTTCGAGAATAGACCTCCTCGTTACACCATCCAGGACAATACGTTCGTTGAGATCAGCGGTAACAAGTTGTAGCTTTCCATCCTTGGACTTCCACACAACGAAGAAATTGCTGGCCCCCGCCTCGGTGATCGTGCAATCTTCACCAAACAGCCAGAGAATCTGGTGGTATCCCCTCTTTCTCGCCTCGCCTTGGGCTACTAGAGAAGGACCATAGTTGGCACCAACTTTAGCGTATCCGAAACCGCCGGGCCACGCGCGGCACATATCATCTTGAGAAGCGAGCAGCTTAATACCACCGCTCATGTCTCCCATGGGAGCAAAGCAACATAGAATGATGAAGAGAAGGGCCTCTTTCGGCCGCTCGACGCCAAGGGCGGGATCGGAAGCGATCATGGTAGGTCGGATGTAAAGGAACTGTCCTGGACGGTCCTTTGGAAGCCACTTGGCACCATCTGTTGCGCAAAGCTTGACAATAAGCTTGAGGAGTTCCTCGGGATCAAACGCGGGCAGGGCGATACGGTTTGTGGACATGAGCATACGGCGACAGTTCAGGTCTGGGCGGAAGAGACGTAGTTTGCCGTCGTATCCACGATACAACTTCATTCCCTCGAAACATTCAGTCGCGTAGTGCAGGCATGAGGCCGTGGGTGCAAGGGACAACGGGCCGTAGGGTTTCAGCTCTGGTGCTGCCCAGCCGGTCTCAACATTCCATTGAGCTTGCACCATGTGGTCGGTGCAGACCTTCTGGCTAGCCATCTCTGCTGAACCTACAGCTGGGACAGAGCGAGGGGTGCTGGTGTATGTGCAGGTGACTTTGGAAGCATCAAGTTCAGCCAGAGGTGCGTCAACAACATCTTGAGTTTTGCTTGCTGGCTCGTTTGGTGGTGTGGCGGTGATGGAGTTTGTGAGAGATGCAGAGTTGATCTGTTCTGGGGCATTCTTGAGGAGCGCAGACTTGATGCCGGCTTGTGTGAGGTCGGTGACCGTCTCGTTGTGATTCGGGGGTGTGACGGCGCTGGGTGCCATTGTTGCTATGTATGAGGACGTGTGGTTGCTAAGCTGTCAATTGAAGTAGCGATAGTCGAGGACAGAAAATATGGTTGCTTCGGTGTGGTAAGAGAAGTGAGTAGTCCAATGCGCGATGAGAAGACACGTACCCTGACGCGCTCTTATACCATGGATCTGAAAAAATTCGATCAAGAGTCACACGCCTTCCTATCACACGGGCGGGAGCAAACCCACTTACCCTAACGATCCATCGATGTAATGTTTGCCCAGCCCCCTGCGGACTACGGCGGGAATCTAGTGTCATTCCTTACAGAACGCAAAGATAAAGGGTTCCACTTGCAGCCGAATTGGACGCTCGGAGTACCCATCTTGAGCAAAGCTTGCTCACGATTGCCTTCTCTCAATGCCACCAAATTGTTCTCTTCCTCTCTTTCTCTGATATGACACGGATAAGTCGCCATCGTCAAGACCATGACAAAAGACGCATCTTCCAGAAGCCGTCGAAGCCGGGGTTGTGTCTGCTAGCGTACCTGAGGACCAAGAATGAGCAGGCGGGCGTAGGGCGTGTGTGCCGAGCCTGCGGTATCCTCGTACCTACCGCTAGTATCCGCGACCAGTTCGCGCTTCCGATCCCCGGACATGGAGATGGGGGAAAATGTATGACACGGCAATATATCATCGAATCTGGTACAACCCTGGAGCAATACGAACAATGATACGCAGTCTGCGATGTCGGAGGTGTATATGCAGACAGTGAAGTTGTGGTCCTTGTGGGAGATGGCGAAGTATCTCGGTAATCAGCGGTATAAGCAATGGAGAACTTCACCGCAGGGGAAAAAAATGCTCAAGTGACCTGCTCAAAACAGGGTATCATATTCTAAGACGGCCAGACCGGTTGCAGTCTTCTAAGGGGCGCTCCACGCCGAGGTTCCGTCGCGATGCATGCACGTATCTCTATGTAGATTTCCTCCTCTAACCGTCGCAAAGTGAACTCTACGATGCCGGGGATGACGATGTCTCGCTGACCTGACTCGCCGCCAGCATTTGACTTGCCCTCAAGCTATCAATACCCTTCATGATCCCATCTGCAACCTCGCCAACCCGTCCTTCAAGCGTACTAAAGTCCATTCTGCTAATAGCAGCATTGATTTGTTCCATGACGAGTTCATCCTGCACCACCTCAGCTGTAACCTGGCCCTCGGTCCTCCAGTATTCTTCCCGCACACCTCGCAACGCTGAATCGCGGTTCACAGAGTTTGTGAGCAGAGCCAGCGCGCGCATCTTATTGAATGTATCTTCGGCGGTTCGTGTAGTTGTTTCGATGCGCTCGGCGATGGAAACAGGCTTGGCGAGCCAGCGGTTCGTGCTTGTAGCCCAGAGGACGAAGGCAAAGCCCATGTCTACCATGGCGAAGGCGACGTATCGTAGGAATCGGACACGCCAGTGCGCTGAATCGATATCCTGCACATACTTTGCTCGCTTGTTGAGCGTGATGTCGTAGGTGGCCATGTACCACACTTCCACCACCATCAAGAGCAATCCTGCAATGGTGGCATGCGTGCGAAACCGCGAACCCTCGCTTCCTACAAGCGACGACGTCGCGAGACCAAGAACAGCGAGTTGGAAGATATGCGGCATGACCATTGTTGGAAGCGAATACAAAAAGTAGTTTTGCTGGTCATTTCCATCGGATGCGGTACACCACACGCAGTTCAACAGGGTGTCGGGGCCATATGTCAGATACAGCAGTTTGTTGCGCACGCTCCAGTTGAACTTTGTCCGTAACGCATCATCCTCATCTGTGAGCGGTCGAAGGTGGCGCAGACGCGCAAACAAGACACTGGTCTCTGTTCGGATGTGACTTTGTGTCTTGAGGAATATGTTCTCGGGTGCAAACCGAGAGAAGGAGAGGACGAGGCATACGAGTGCGCTCACGAAGAGCAAGTTTAACGCATACTGAACTCTCGGAGGCGTCGGCCGTACCGGCACGCTTCTCCCGGTTGCGCGCGCGAGGTTGATCCAGTCGAGTACGCGGGGTATGAGGAAGGGTCCGAAGATGATGAGGATCGAGTGGACATTCTGCGGGAGAAACGTCAGGCGCGGGATGACGACGTAGGATATTACAAGTAAGACAATTGAGCGCAGGTTGAACATTGTACAAGTCGGATGATCATGAGGAAGTCGGCGAGGGCTATGGTGTCGCTGAGGACATGTGTCCTCGCATATGGCCAAAGTCGAGGTGACGTGTGAGCGTCGGCGGCACTGAAGCGCGATCACACGTGAGCCCGTGCTAGTACCCCAATTTCCGTCCACTTTCAATGCGTCAGCCTCAGCACTCAGCCAAGTTCGACTGCTTTACCTGCACTATATGCGTCTTGCATATTTGCAGCCGAGTATGACTTCTTACGAACACTAAGCATGCTAACGGGATGTTCGGATTGAGACTCCATTCATCTGATCTGGAAGCAAGATACTACAAGCGAATTACAACGACTTCGTTAGAACACCCAAAAGGCACCATATCCATGGACCCAAGTCTGCTGATGTCTACTTCCGCACGCTCCTAAACAGGCGATCGCCAGATCTCACATATGCCCTTCTGTTACAAACCTCTCCTGTATAGATCGCCTGTTATCTCTCCCCGAGATTCATGCTGTGGTGCCTGCGCATAAAAACGTGCCGGCGTACTTGTAGTGCTGATGTGGTTGGCACGTCCATCGCTGCTGTATTGCGTCCCTATCGGACTCCCTCTGCTGCCAGAAGGCGAATGTGGTGATTGTCGCGAGCTCGTCGATGGACTATTGGGTCGTGGATAGTAGATTGGAACTTGCTGTTGAATAACGTCGTTTGGAGATTGTCGTGGCGAAGTCGGCGTAGGGTACGAATATTGAGTGTCCTGACCTTGCGCAGACTGCGGATAGTTTACTTGAGTACTCCAAGCAGCTGTCGGCGAGTTACGAGCAACATTACCGTCGCTGAAGAGTTGCTCGCCATGTGGCGAGTGATTCGCGTGCCCACCTTCAACAGGAGATATGTATGGGGGATCGTGACCGTACGAAGGAGGGCCTTGAGCCGAATACGGTGAGTTGTGGTCGTGGCTAACGGAGTATGATTGTTGTTGGACATGTCCGGGATAACCAAAGGCGAAAGAATCTGCCTGGTCATGTATGGAAACGTACTTGCTAGCAGCTGTGTCGGCCATCTCTTGAGGCACGGTAGTCGCAAGCTCAGCAGGTGGAAGATCGAGTGGAACTTCACCCTCCTTCGCCTTCAATGCCTTCTTCCGCCGATGCAGGCAGAATAGTATAAGGCATAGGATGCCTATTAGTCCCAAAAGCCCTCCGACTGTACCACCAGCAATAGCTCCCACCTTCGTCTTCTTTGAGCTTCTAGGGGATGGGGATTCTGTTGCCGAAAGTAGAGCACGAGTAGCTGATCTTGCAGTAAAAGTAGGTTTAAGTGTATAGTAGGTAGCAAGATCAGGGTGGCCCCACGTTGCTGGAGAAGTCTTCGTGGCACCTCCGGCAGGTCTATTCTTGTTAGTCGTGTTAACCTCTGTTTGCAGACGAAAAATACCTACCCTCCCCCAATCACGGAGATGATAGGCGAAGGAACAACGTAGTCGTCTAGCTGAGGGCTGAATTTGTCCCAAAGTTTTGAGTCCCCACCGTTGTACCCAAGAACCATGTTGTGTTGTCCTTGACCTTCTGGTACATCGCATTTGTCGTATATAGGGAACCAGCCACCTATGACCAACATCTGCGCGCGATTGACTTAAGGATTGGGTTACGAAGTTAGTGTGTATTTCATATACAGTTCGTACATCGATATTACCTACCCACGTTCGCACTACAGCCACCATGACCAATTTTAGATGGATTCTCACTACTGAAGACCTTGATCCAGGTAAAGGACGGAAGAGAAAGGATGTAGACGTCGTCGAAAGCCGGTGCTTCACCGAACCCGTACCCGCCGTAAAGATAGCTACTCCAAATAAGCATATTCACTCCAAGGCGACACAATGTGTATACGAAGCTTGTATATGGCACTGAGATCTTAGCGACAAACTGCAATTTCTCACAGTCTTTTCGAGGTCCTAGATAGCACGGGCAAAACCCTTGGGACTCCGTTGATCCTCTTTCGTATCAACGACCTCTAGCCCCTGTGGACGTTTCCAGCTTACCGATGGCGCCGACCAAAGCAACAGCAGGAATATGACTTTTACAAAACAAGAATCCAGTAACTTACACATTGAAAGATGACTCGTCATCCGGCCAAGTGACATCAGCACAGAACTGTCTGCGGGTGTCAGGTATATCGCCAGATGCGGTCTGTGTATACCATTTCGACGAAGCCATATCGTAGACGTGAATAGTCTATAACGTCAGCTATGTAGAAGCTGAATGTCTCTTCGATATCTTACACTCATGTTTGCCTGATACACTGCGTTAGTATGTTCAGTCATACATGGCTTTGGTCTAAACCTACTGCATCAAAGCTGCCGTTATGATACGAGTCTTCGATACCACCGAAATAGATAAGCACACCGCTGTCCGAAACGGGTAGGAACAAAAGTTGTCCTTCAGCTCTCCCAATATCATCTGGTCCGGTTATATTCTGTAGGTCACCTGTAGACATGTCGAATTGAATCAGCCCGTTGGTGGCCATGGGAGGCCCATTCCAATCGGGCGCTGTTCTGTTGCTTAGCCATCCGCCGAAATAGAATCCTAATCCGCGGCTTTCGACTTGCGTCCCGGCTCCAAACGATACTCGTTGTAGCTCCTTGTCGCCATTCGTCTCGGTAGTGTTCCATTGATTGAGCAGGACATCGTAGGTCCAAATACCGAAGTCCATGGGACTAGCACCGGCGGCGTATTCTCCGCCAAACTGATAGAAGCATTTGTTCGTATTGTCCGCCCATGTATAACCGCCAGAGAGGCTGGGAATGTGTCCAGGCTTCGAGTACGCCTTCTGTTCCGGCATCCCGGCATCGACCGTCGATGAATTCAAGTTACTAGACAAAAGCCATGTATCTAGATAGCAGTCGTTAGATTATATCAAGAGAGGTAAATGATGTTTTGTCAAGCTCTACATACTGGAATGGTTCGACGTGAAAGGGACTTCTCCTACCATGCCACCATCAATGTACAGCATCGAGTCAACCCGTGCCGTTGCATGACCCCATCTTCGGCAGAATCCTTTCACAGGGTCGTCCTGCTGTGCTAAAGACTGAGTAGCAAGACTAAGCAGAACAAGGACATCTCGTAGAATGGAGGCCATGATATGCATACATGACGCTCCTGAACAAGCACACGTGAGATATGGGAAAGGCGCGAAAGCTGTTCAAGGTAAGGACAACTGTAGGATGCAGCAGGAAGGAGGGGCGGGCCGCAGACGTTGGAGTGGATATGTACAGGGCTGAGGATGACCTCGACAGAAGGACCGGATTGTAGGCGGAAGGTCTGAGGTTGTCGTTTGTGGCGCACCTCGTTGAGTTGATGCGCTCCGGTTCACCGATCTGACTGCGTCGTAATATTGCTAGGCGACCGTCTTCTCAGCCATGTCGTGAGCTGTGGGACGCCTATCTCCAATGAAATCACAGCACACGAAATACGAGTGATCTACAGGCCCGACAGAGGCGTTTGACCAAGCAGGATATAGGCCTAGTTTGAAGTCTGCGAGAACACGGCGCCGACCTGCCAAGGGTGGCCTGCTGCGACGAACATTGTACGTGGCTTGAGACAGATCGAATGAGACGAACAGGTGAAGAAAATACTATCGCTGCGACCAGTAGTAGCGAGGTGGTCAGACTGAATCGGAAGCTGCTGCTCAGCCGCTCTCGAGTCCTTCGATCCAGAGCTACGTTTCTTGCTTCGTGTGGAGTGACACACGGCGGAAGATGCGGGGAGGTCTTTCAGCTGGGCGCTCAACGTTATTTGTGGCCATTGACCTTAACAGTCTAGATCCGCACAACGACAGGCCTCAATAGCATGCCAATCACGATGAACCCTGTGTTCCTTTTCTCGCTTTACGCAGTACTATGCATGATGCGGGTGTCGGGATTTGGGGGCCGATTTGGATGTCAGTGACGGCTCAACGCATGTAGCAACCAACGCCACGCGCAACAGCTGTCAGGGCATCACATTCGTCCCAAGATACACGTCTCTTCTTCACGGTGATATTGAAATCAAGGTCACGAGGCCCCTTTGTTCAGATAGGCACCGAAGTATGTTGGCCTAAAGCGAACCCGCAGCTCCAATACCGACCGAAGTCGACGTGGACGAGCTGCAGGATTAGAATGGCAATTCTGTTTCTCTGGGTCTGCTCTGGAAAAGGCGAATCCACTTCGTGAAGGAAGGACCTTAGGGTTATTGGAGACCGTTGACAATATGTGAAGAAAAGAAGAGCAGAAGCTTCGCGGAGAAAATTGAGCGACACGGATGGCTTTCTTGGCGCGCTAGCAGTTAGCTCATCCCTCTTAATGGCCCCTGCCCACACGTCATGAGCCATGTGCAACATCACGACATTTGTACAATACGTATTGAAAACATGTCTCATGCTACATCCGGAATTAGATTACCGCTTAATATGTGGCATTCCCCTGATACGGCATTCCATGTCCTGGCTATGCTAACTAAGCTTCATCCTCTTTCAGCGAAGCCGACTTGTCAACCACCGGATGAGCCATGCAACCCCACAGATAATTTTGGTGGTATCCGTTAAGCACATTACGACACCCTACACTTACGAGGTCCTTTGGTATCAAAACGACTCAAAATACATGTTTCCATTAGTTTCCAGCTTATCTTGAACGCAACCAACCAACAACGATATAGATCGCGCACCCAGTCGAACCAGAGAGGAGCTAGAAACAACCCGATGGAATTTGAGTTTCTCGACTGAATGTTGTAGGAATATCTGGGGAATAATACCTAGGTATAATGAGGCAGCGTCTAATTGACACTATGATTCGCGCTTCGCCAGCGTCCTTGATTCTTGTCCCGGACCCTGCCTTACGCAACAGTGTTTATCTGCATGAAATCTACAGTTCATCAGTTAGATTGCTCACAACGCATTTAACTCCTCTAGTGCAGGTCCCATGGCTTTCATAGTAGACTACGCAACGAAGGCATACATCGTCGTCAGCATCAACTTACACTATGTGTAACTCACGGATGATTTGAGAATCGTACAAATCGTCATCTGGGCAGTGTCTAAAATGATGTCCGATAATTCAGGACGCCTCGAAGCATGGTACTATCGAAGTCTTAGTTTTAGGAAATGCTCTTCATTTGCAGCGACAGAATTCGAGAAGTTTTGCGAAACGCTGCGATGATACCTCTCGACAGCATGCTCAAAATTCAGCGACCAATACCACTTTCGCAATCAATATTCGCCTATACAGAATTCAAATACTTTCAGTCTCGGAACGATCGAACAGGCTCGAGTTCACGCCGAATGGAAGACTGGGTTGGTGATACGGTGGGGAGAAGGAAGAATCATACCACAAGTAAAACAACAAAGGAGTGTGGACTTTGGAGATGATATGAGCATAAGGTGGGATTCTAGATCAAACTCTTCCAATGTAATTTGACAATTATGAAGAAGCTGGTAAACCATTGTCTTAGCTTGAAACAACTATCTGGACTCGATGCAAACGCCTTTCTAATATGCTCGTAGTTGGTGCAGACCTATATCTGGTGACCCGGTAAGCCACAAGAGCGGCTCTGACCTTGATAACTCATTGTGATATTATCGTCCCGTCATCTGCAATGCAAGAATCTCCAGGTACCACTGCAGCATTCTGGCTTTCCCAATGTTGACTGCTATCTCGTCTACCCTGAATGCATAGCTTTTGTCAAGGCCAAGCGCTTGCTGTACGGACTCAAGCTACGCTCTCTCTGAACGGGTGGGGGTGCTTGCGCTGGCGGCGGTGTATCTCTGCCATTTGACACGGGTGGTCGATTGTCGAAGCGGTTTCTTGCCGGTCGGTATGGACTGTCACGAAGTCGTCCTCCGTTTCTCGCTTCTTGTGGACTGCGCGACCGGCGTGCGGCTTTGCGCTTGGAGTACGGACTGGGGCTGCGATCGCGACCGCTGTGGTACGGTGAGAGTGACCTTGAGGGTTTACCATCCCCTGAATGTGAGACTCCTGTTTTACCCTTTGATAGTCGGTTAGGTGGGTGGTTGTCATCAGACGTATCCATGGGATCCGCGCTTCTCGATCGTGATCTCGAGACGGAGTACTGACGAACTGGCCGCCTCCTATCTCTTCTTGCGCTTCTGCTTCGTGACCTGATACTGCCACTCAAGCTTCGTGGTGCTCTTCCTCTGGCATTCTCATGTGATGTCTGCATGCGCGCCGACCTTGACCTCGACTTTGACCTGGTTCTTCGGCGACCTCGCTCGCCAGGGCTGAAGGAGCTCATGCGCCGCCTTGTGTTTCTGTCTGCTGTATCCGATACGCAGGATGAGCGCGATTCCATGGACACTGATCGCCTGCTGCGCTTACGCAGCCCCTTGTCATTGTCGTCTCCTCGATGTCTTGGTGCATCGCGCTTCCGTCGTGGTGGAGATCGTGAGCGGGAGCGGGAGCGGGAGCGGTTTGTTGAGATGGTGGAGACAGAGTCGGCAGATGACGCAGAGAGTGACCGCGCGCGCTTGCGATCCTCTTCCTTCTTCTTCAAGATCTCATCTGCGACGCCCTTCTTGCGCAGCAGATCTTGGGGTACTTCGGTGGTAAGCTTGGGCTTCAGCTTGGGGTTGAGTAGTTGTTGTGTCCTGGAAGGTCGAGATTTGTATGGGCGTTCCTGGGCAGATGCCTTGCACTCGTAACTGTAATGTCCTCTCTTGAGGCACTTCTGACAGAGGGTATCTGCTGAAGCCTTGGAGCGCCCAGCACCTGGACGACGGAACATGGCGGACTGTAGTTGCAGTAGAGGTCGAGTGCAATAGGGTTCTGTCGGGCGAAAATCCTATCGTCGACGCTGGCAGGGATATTCGACGCGACTCTTGCGTCAGCGGTGCAGCAGACAGAGGTGTGATCAAGGCCTCGCCAACAAGTTCAGTCTCGTTCTGTCACTTTCGGCGAGGAAACGCGACCAGCCTTGTTCGCATGCAGTAAAGCGCAGATGCAGCTTGGCCGGAGAATTGGGCGGAGCGGCATGACTAAGCCCGCCCACTGGCCGCTTCCATCATCGCTTCTCTATCCTTCACACGCCTTGCGCTGCACCCCGCATAACAGCCTGGTCCCCGCCCTATACCCAAGTCAACGAGCCAATTCACCGGTCGTCCTTTGTCGTGCGCCCTGTCTCCGGGTGCTTGGCAGCTTCTTGCACACTCGACGCCCACGTCTCTGTACCGCACGCCTGTCGTCAAGGCTACTTCACCTTGACCTCGATCCAACAAACCCACTGCCCTACCCTTTTCCCACGAATGTCGGCATACCAACATGTCCAGCTTTCTGGCTCCGGTTATCGCGACTTTCCTTGAGCACCCTATTTCCTGAAAAAAAATTACGTCCATCACTTCGGTTAGCACACCACCTTCGTTTCCGTCTACGACGACCCACGTACGGCGTTGAGCTTGGTGATTCTTTCGGCTTCGGAAACACGCGTCCGTCACTTCATTCCACGGCTCTGCTGCTCCAAAACTGCCCGGATATCCATTTCGCCCTCCCCCGCGGTTGAACACCGTCTGCGCACTGCGCATAGGCCATCTGAATCGCATCCTACCGCCCAAATAGTCTTCAGTACCAACCACCGCCTCATAACCATGGCATCCGCGACACCGGCTCCAGCAGAACAGGCGCCCCCGCGGCCTCTGTCATTCGCCAAGGTACGGTTTTAAGAAGCAATTTCCATGGGCGGTGTGCTAACAGCGCTAGGTCGCGGCTTCTGCCATAAAACCCCAGACGTCGAAAGATTCTGCTCCACAAGCGAGGCCGCCTGTTGCGACACCTAGAATACCTGCCGTCGCCCAAAAGGCGCGCTCTATCCCCATGAACGGCGAGGTACCGCCCAGAATTCTCGCGGAAAAGCAAGAGGATAATGATGCGAGCAAAAGCGCTGAAAATGCCATCTCGCCGCCGGCGCAGCAGACAAGCACCGCCGAGCTATCGGACACACCGTCCACAGATCCCAAAGGGGAAGCTGTCGATAGGCCCCAGTCTGCTGCTGTAGTCAAGGTGTCTGTTACCGAGGACAGCAGCACTCAGCTCTCCTCGTCAGATGGATCCGGGAAACCTCCCAGTGTTGATGGAAAGAGTGTTGCTTCTGCAACCACCTTTGCGCTCGACGAGAAGGAGTCTTTGCGCCCAGACGACAGTGCCAGCCTCAGGGCAGTCGAGGAAGAGGATGTCACATCCCCACCCGACTCAGTCGTTGCAGACTCCCGGCAGGGATCTGATCACGGCGCTGCGCGTGCCTTCCGGGACCAGCTACATGAAATAGCGGTGATGAATCCTCAACCTAAGCGAGAAGGTCCTCCAGGTCGATTTCCAACACTAACCAATGGTCCGCAAACTTTGTACGACCCTAACCAGTCGCTGAACAGCGCAGGGCTCATGTCGCAGCCTATGGTCAATGGTATGCCCTCACTAAACGGTGTTCCCAACATGCCCGCCATTCCAGACGAGAAGCTGCTTGAAGCACTGCGGTCTCCACGCGATCGTTTGTTTGTAGTCAAGATTGAACAAGACTTTATTGATTTCATCAAAGATTCTCGGTACGTTACTGGTGACTACTTTTCTTCTCATCGTTACTAACGGGAGGCAGAGAAAATGAATTGTGTCTGCCGAATTGTAATACTTTCTATAGGATGCTTGCCCACCGTCTTGCGGACTACTATCTGCTCGGCCACGTGGTCGACACTACTATGACTGGTGTGAAGATTACACGAACACCTTACTGTAGGATGTAAGTATCTAGCGAGGTTTGTTGTGTTTTGTTGCTGACTGTTTCACAGCCCACCTCCCGTGTCACAGATGGTTGATCCTGCCAAGGGTACCAATACACCTCCTGTAGAGCTTCCTGCTCGTAAGATAATGCGTCGCGATGATGGAAAATCAGGTACAAACACCGGAGCTAATTCGCAAAATGCCTCAAAGACGACTTCTGAGATGGGTGGTAGTGAGGGCAGCAATGACGGCGAAGGCAGCAAAGACAAAGCCGCGCTATCCAGAGAAGAGCGTGAAGCACGTTATCGTGAGGCCCGTCAGCGCATCTTTGGAAGTGCAGAGAGCGAAGAGCCCGAGGTGGCAGAAAGCAATGGACCTGGAGAAGACAAAAACAAAGGGAAGGACATCTCACGATCAAGTTCCGCTGCTGGAAAGAAGAAGCCCAAGAAGCAGCGTAACTACGACGATGATGACTTTCAGGCTCGTTCCCGCTTTAATGTGTACTACCCGCAACAGTATCCTGTGGCTACATACACTGGAGATAACGCGGTCTATTACAACGGTTACCCAGGTCCTGCACAGAATGCGCCATATGCAACCATGAATCCTGGTGCTTCTCCTCCGACTGCTTTCAGCAACCCGTATCCGGGCATGATGGCCCCAGAGGCGCAGTCGCAGTATGGTTGGGCTGGTCAACAGTACCAGGCCTCTAACGGGTCAATGATGCCGTACCCCGGTTATGGACAAGCATCGAATGGTTACGACATATCGGCAGACTTCCAAAGGGGTATGTCGTCCTTCCAGAGCGCTGGCATGCCTTCTCAAGTCACTCCGAAGATGGCCAATCCGCAAATGGCATCTTATCAAGATACCTACCAGCAACCACAACATATGCCTGTGAATTCTGGTTGGTCACACGCAAATCAACAGCCCTCATTCCACATAGCTCAGGGTGCATACAATGCTCAGAATGGTCCTGGCAACCGACCCATGTCCGCACCCCACCAAGCACCAATGCCTGGGTATTCCTATGGGCAATTCGCCTCAAACGCTTACAATGGAAAGTCAAACCGCAATCAGCATCCTCTTCCAGGAAGCTATAACCGTGGACAGTTCAACCCACAAACTCAAGCTTTTGTTCCCGGTGGACGTAACATACCCTTCGGAATGCAGCAAAATATGATGCAGGGACAGCCTCAGTTAAATGGGTACGGCGGATACCAAATGTCGGCTCAGACTTCCATGCCTGCTCAAATGCCTAGACCCAACCCTTCTTCTAATTCCACGCCGTCGTTTGGGTCACCTCAAAGTATACAGGGCAACAACTCAGCCACTTCCATGAACCGAATCGCCTCCCAGACTGGCGAGCCGGGGTCATCTCAAAGCAGCATCGCAAAATATGGTACACCTTCACACCTGCCTCCAAAGCCTCCAGCTCCAGCTCCAGCTCCACCGTTTGCTTTGCCCTCTATGACGCGAGTACCATCATCCGGGCTTGCTAACAATGCTCCTACAACGTCCACTCGAGGCGGCTCGGGCAACTTCAATAACAACACGAACCCCAACTAACGCTTTACGACATGATCTTTAGCATTGCGACGGTGCCTCCATTGGACTTATTTGCATCTTTATCTGGCTGGGCACGGGATAGGTTCGAAGGGAGAATGAGGCGTTTATCTAATGCGTGCTTTCTATGCTTCCCGCTTGCATGTTGAGGATCGTCCGCATCCTGATCGTGATCTCTCCCACCTCTCAACTTTCTGCTAGGTCACTAGGTAAAAGCACTTTTCTTCTCGGTTAGTAGACGGAATGGGCGGTATTCATGTAGCTATAATAAAATTGTAACCTTGCTTCTATTACGACGGGGGGTTCACCCATGAACGTGAGCATCAACAGAATTGTGGAGTAAAATCCATCGTCCTATCAACCGTCCCTATCACCCACACGATTTTGATGAAGCTATCTCCACCTAAGTAACGCCGATGGGGTTGTTGGGACACTTTACGAAGCGTAAGTCGTCGGCAAAAGTAGCCGTGAGACGCCTGGTTTGTACGCTTTGCACCCAAAACGACAAGATTGCCTATCACGGTACACACTCAAGACTTGTACAGCAAAAGCTAAGTCGTGACAATACAGATGGGCAGGCGGACATCATGCACAGATATGACCGGTATGGGTAATAGGGAAGCGCGGATGACATACCTCGGTCTTGCGTCCGCGAGGGCAAGTTTTCGTTCTTGTTTGGAGACAATGAGGGATGGAATAAGAGCCATCTATGATTGAATCCTTTCGCTACCTACACCTGTGGTGATTGGAGCGCGCTGTCATACGGCACGGTGACCCGACAACTGAAGAAGCAACCACGTCCCAGGTACAATACCCAGTCGAATTGTCTTTTTTCTCATTATGGTAGAAATTTGGTTGGTGGGTAACTGTACCCGTGTTTCTAATCTGTAATCTACACTCATTGAATGCAATTACCTTGTTGGGACGGCTTTTGTGAATTGTGTGGGAAGGTTCGAGGTGATGGATGACATGTGGACGGCTTAAGCCACGTCAGAAATTGGAATGGCTCGGATGGCATACCCGCCACAAACGGTCCATTAGTTAGATTAAATTTCCGTTTGGGTTAGAAAGTACTTAAAGTTTCAAAGGGATATTTGCACGAGACGACAAATTGCTACGAAACTATACAGTTTTACCCCCAATTCAATCACATACCTCGACAGTGGGCTAGAAATCGCGCGCACAGCCGACGCTGCATGATAAAAGGATTATGTTTGTCGATCCGAGATGTATGGACGATTTCGCTACGAGCTTACCTGGATAATGGAAGATATGATGATACAAGAACGAAATATAGATTTATGCTCTTGGTGGAAATATTACCCTTCGAGGCACTGTTATGTTGTACAAGTCCGATATTGCCGTGCAACACACCATTCGGAAGCACGAGTTCTCCTATAGCTTTCAGCAGTATGGGTTCATTTCAAGGCGGGAATTGCATTATCGGCAGATCGAACAATCAGTAGTGATTGGTAATAGATTTCCGCCCTGAAATCAAAACGCTGATACAATAGAGCCGCGCTTTCGTATAAAATTCTAGAATCAGTAATTCTCGAGATAGCGACACCTTCCGTACACCGTAATTATCAGATCTGACTCACAAAAATCCACATTCGGTAGCTGAGCCGCACAAGAACTGTATTTCCAGACTCATGACTGACGCGTGATAAAGCGAGATGACGTTACCGGTACTTGGGTACCATCGAAATTTTTGAATCCGGAGACACCTAACGGCAGTGGGAGCCCCATGGTGTGGCGATCGTGACCCACAATGTCCATGCATCGAAGACCCGTAGAAGAAAGAAAACTGGGACTAACACCGAGAAGCTCCGCTCCGCAATCGTTCGTCCGGTATGGAACATTACGTGAGTCTTTTGTATTGCGATAGTAGAAATATGTTGGAGTTAGAGGATGATACGATGATATCATCTTCAAAGGATCAACATGATGGACGCCAAGCCAGATCTCGTGATACACTTGCATCACATTCACCTGCGATCATTGCTGCGACACGCCAACGTCCTGACATGTCGGGACGCCTCGGCAGTCTGTCGCGACGACAGCCAACGCCAACTCAACTGACATACAACGGCTCTTGCACTACCCCACATGTCGAAGTGAAGATGACGTGCGCAGCTTTGACGTCGGTAGAAATTCCCTGGGCCAAGCTTTGGAGGCTCAAAGATCGGCTCCGGAGTGATCCCGTAACCAATGGGAACGCGACGCTTGTTGATAGCTTAACTTTATCAAGCATTCGATTGACCGGGCTTGTCGATGGCGATGTGGCTAGCGGCCGTATGCTGGGGTCCTGGACCATGCAAAACATGACGTCGGTAATTGCAGCTCGCACGCTCACGAGATGGCTTCGGGCTTACCAAACTGCGCGGTAAGCATGGGGAATGCGGTGACGACCCACGGTTGAGCGTGCCGTTATGACGGCATTGGGGTCTCCAAGAGCCAAGAAGCGGAGCAAATATGGGTGGTTTATAGGACTCGGAGACCCCACGACCCCAAGATCTGTTGTTACTTTCTCTTACCTTTGATCGGCACAAAACTTTCGCCTTTCACCAGCCATGGCGATACTCGACCGATTTCGTGGGCATTCACACGCCTCGCCTGCTTCCTCTACGATGATAGATCAGGATCCTGAGAAGAAACCACAGATGTTGAAAGGTGGTGTGAAGGAGATTTTCCGCATGCGTATCATTGCCATGGCGATCATTGTGTCAATGGGCGGTGTATGTATTATACGAAACAATATGGGTACATTGGTTAACGACATGTAGTTCATCTTTGGTTACGACACCGGTCAAATCTCTGGATTCCTGGAAATGCCAGACTTTCTGAACAAATTTGCGGATCAGACGGACCCTGAAACAGGCGGACCTGCTTTCAGCAATTGGAAGTCTGGGTTGATCGTCGCCCTACTTTCAATCGGTACCTTGATGGGTGCTTTAATCGCCGCTCCTATCGCCGACAAATTCGGCCGCAAATACTCTATCGTCTTCTGGAACATCATCTTCTGCGTTGGAGTCATTGTTCAGATTACTACAACGAAAACATGGTATCAAATCTCCCTAGGTCGTTGGGTCGCTGGTCTTGGTGTAGGAGGACTGTCGGTCCTTACGCCAATGTATCAGTCCGAGACTGCACCACGCTACGTACGAGGTGCGCTCGTATCGTGTTACCAGCTCTTTATCACCCTCGGAATCTTTACCGCTTACTGTGAGCAATTCTATCTGCGAACCATCTCTGGAACCTAAACTGACTTTGCACTCTAGGCATCAATTTCGGTACCGAAGATGATGGCAGTTCAGCTTCATGGAAGATTCCAATGGGTGTTGGCTTTATCTGGTCAGCACTCATGATAGTCGGGATCCTCTTTATGCAGGAATCTCCACGATGGGAATACCGCAAGGGCAAAGTTGACGAAGCGATACACACTATCGCCCTTACGTACGGTGTTTCTCAGGACCACCCAGAGGTTCAGCGCGAAGTCCAGGAAATCCAGAAGAAATTAGAGGCGGAGCAAGCGGGAGGCGGCCACCACCCCTGGTACGAGATCTTTACAGGACCGCGCATGTTGTATCGTGTATTACTTGGTATCAGTCTGCAAGCCCTCCAGCAGCTCACAGGTGCCAATTAGTAAGTCGATTTCAAGTACTTCTAACGCATCCCATACTAACCTTGTTGTAGTTATTTCTACTATGGAACCACGATCTTCCGGTCTGTTGGCATTTCAAATTCGTTCGTCACCTCCATGATCCTAGGAGGTGTCAACTTTGGCATGACCTTCCCCGGTCTGTATATTGTTGAGAAGTTTGGACGGAGGCCTGCACTAATCACTGGTGCCTTATGGATGTTCATGTGTTTCCTAGTCTTTGCTTCACTGGGCCACTTCGCTCTGGAAAATGACGACGGCACTTCGAACCAGGGTGTTGGTTATGCTATGATCACCTTTGCGTGTCTCTTCATCGCAGGCTATGCCATGACATGGGGACCAATTGTCTGGGCTGTCGTTGGAGAAATTTATCCCAGCCGATACCGTGCGAAGGCCATGGCTCTAGCCACAGCTAGCAACTGGACCTGGAACTTCCTCATCTCCTTCTGTAAGTTCTTAACACTTCACATTGCCGGGATGAACCCCACTAATGCACATTCTTAGTCACACCCTATATCACGGCTGCCATCGATTATCAATATGGATACGTCTTCGCGGCCTGCTGTTTCCTCGGCGCTATAGTAGTCTACTTCTTTGTCTGCGAATCTCATGGCCGCACGCTCGAAGAAATTGATACTATGTACATCCTCCACGTTACACCATGGAAGAGCAAGCACTGGACTCCTACTCCTGGCGAGGAGTTGCCCAATCTAGACAACACATTTTTGACGCCTGGAGGAAGAGGCATTAAGAAGGGCAACGAAGCGAGAGCGCCCGAACAGCTGCGAAGGGAGAGTGTGCCTGTCACTGATGCTGATATGCAGGCAAGTGGTGCGAGGCAAGACGAGTAGGCACCAGGCAGAATTCTGATATTCAGGCCACAGACCATTGTTTTTTGTTTTATCAGCAAGCATCATAGCGTAGCATAAGTTTACAGCATTGTTTTCTCTTCATTGAAATTGTTGACGCTTTTGTGCATACACAACGTGAAATGACTTGGACACGTTACTTGGTCGTGCCCATGCCCTGGCATACGTACTAGTGGACATTCCCAGCAGACTCGATTGGCGGCAAGACCAGAATTCGCCATAGCTTGCAATCCAGGCATACTCGCAAAAAGAAGTAGCCACCAAACCACAGGCAGAAAAGAAACCGAACACGCTGCGTGTCCTAGCTCAGCAGTACGGGCAAACAAATGCAAAAAAACAAAGTCCGAATAATCCTGGGCGAACCCAGGCACGTTGTCCCCTTCGTGGATCGAACACGATACCTCCAGATTTAGTGACTGAGACTTCAGTCTGGCGCTCTCCCAATTGAGCTAAGGAGACGGTTTTTTGATGGA